CATTCAATGGTCTATAGATGACATATATATATATAATAATGCATTTGTTATTTTTTTTTATTCTGATGGAGGATACAGTATTTTTTCCTAAGGGGTCGGAGAAGAAAAAATGCTTAACTCTAAAATTCAGATTTGTCCCTTTTAAGTTATACTCCAGTACATATGTTGTTTAGTAAAATTTACAGTTGAGGAAATCCATTAAAACCAGAAAATTTTGTGTGTTATTATATGGGAAAAATCTTTAAAATTACAATTAGGAAATATAACTGATCATTCCACTTACTGGGAAGAATATTTTTTCATTTTTGTGTTGTGTGTGTTTCTGTTAACAAGAACAAATGTCTTAGATTTCATTTAATCTATGAGCAGAGGTATTTCATCTGTCAAAAGAGGAAGCTTAAGGCACAGCAGGTGGCAGTCAGTCATTTACTATTACACTGAATTTTTTTCATACCCCCAATTTGTTTACATCTTACCTTGAAGAAAATGTCAGTATTTCAGTTTTACTCATGGGAAGTGATAAGGGTAATGTGATTCTAAAATGGACCTCTTCAAAACCATACAAATTGTACTCAGGATCCTTCTTATTTACTTTAATATTTTAATGTATTTATAATGCAACATTGTATGAGCTTCTGTGAGGTTGAATTTAATAATCTGTGTAGCGCGTTTTGAGATACTCAGGTTTGAAGTGCTGTGGAAGCATAAAATATTAATGCTGTCATGGAACTTTTAAATTCTATTTTAGAGTAAATACAGTTGGAGATAGGCACACTGGGTTCTGTCTGGGATTATGTATCACTAATAAAAATGTTTTATAATACTGAGTAAAAGACCACTGAAGAAAGTAAAAAATATCTTTTTGTTCAGTGGGAATTGGACCATTCAATCATGACCTTTCAGTGACTAATATTAAAGTACAAGGATTCCTCAAAATCAGCTTATTTACATGCTCAATTATTTAGTTATCCACTGGTGTTTTAGTGTTGAGTTATGCCATTTCTAAATGCCTTGCATAATAAAATAGTCATGTAAAATGATTTGTGATGAGATGACAATGGGAATGCAGTTCTTTGTTATCACGCTTGGTCTACTCGTTAAATATCCACGTGTTAAAAAATCTTCAAATAAATAAACTGCACTTTTTCTCCAAGTGGCCTATATGTCTAGAGCAAAATGAAGATGAGATCGTGTCATGCAGCTGATCTACAATGGCAGTAGGGACAATTCACTTTTAGTGTCCACAGCAATTTGATACATAGGTGCTCTTAAAAGTCCCTACTACCATATCTGGGTAGCTTTTTTTGTCTGTAAGATGTAGTAACATGTTCTGGAATTACAACTGCATTTTTTTTGCTTGTATGTAGAGATTCCCTTCTGGTACACATTAGGGTATCCTGGACCAAATTTAGAGTTATAAATTAACAGTGATACAGCCATGTGATTTGACACTGTAGTGGAATTAGAACTATATGTATTTCCCCAAAATAATAGAATGCAGTGTTCCCACTCCTTTGATGAATATGCCTGTTAACTGTCATTTAACACATGCTCCATTTAGGGAATGCCAAAAGTTTGTATTGGTTAGTGAATGACTGCTACCCACACCTACCGAAGTTTTTGCTAATAAAATTTGAAATCACTGCCAGCCATCAGTGCTAGATTTATTCACATCCTATAGAAGGTAATTTTCTGGTTTTGTTGTTTCCTGAAAAAAAAAAATACATACATTTCTTTCTGACTAGCAAATCATGATTTTCTTGGGTGAATTATTTTCAGCAAGACCTGTAGTATATACTGGAGACATATGTATGTTGTCCAAAAGGTAAGAATGCTTGTAATTAACTAAAAGACGCCATCAGTAGAGTTTGGATTTTTTGCTGTAAGGAACAGAGCTTAAGCTGATAAACTCTACTAGAAATCAGAGGTTGGATGGGAGAGACAATTGACAGAAATCTGAGATTGGGGAGGTGTGGGCAGGAATCTGGAAGGATTCTGCATATGGATCAAAGGCAATGTCAGAGGTCTTGTGACTGCAGATGGACAGGAGAAGAATGGAGACCTCTGGAGTAGGCATATGGCTTCAGAGCACGTGATACGCTAAACTGCAAGATACAGGTCTAGCTGATAGCTCCATACTTGCAAGTGATGCTCTCCAAAATCCTCATCTCCTGAGGATGCTCTGAGAACATGTCCTGGCTGCCTGTTGGCATGAGGTACTGGTGCAAATCTATTCCCTATATGAAATTACTGTTTGCACAAAGGATGTGGACAGGAACAGGGACGCTTGGGCACACTTCAGTTAAAATTATAGCCACTTGCGAGTCTCAGGCCTTCCTTTATGCTTAGCAATATTTCCAGATGTTTCAGTGAAGTTATTTGTGAGTGACTGTGCCTGCTCTAGGCTATGTTGTTTCATATAGGATGCAATTTTACAAAAAATGATAATATTTCTGACAACTGCCACATTTAAAAAATTAAAGTAGTTTTTGACCCACTTAGAATGAAACATTCTGCCTTAAATTATGTTGATTTAAATCAGCATATTACAGTCCTGGTTCAGTAATATTATTAAGGCCTTTTAAGCTTAGATCTACCAGTATTTAATAAAAAAATAAAAACCCAAAATAAACCCCAAACCATTTTTTATGTCAAAAGGATAACAACACCTTTTTTTTGACCATGTGAAAATTAGTCGATTTTCTGTTTATCACATTTGATTGGCTGTTAGAAGATCCAGGTTCAGATCCTGTACAGGTGGTCTCTGTCACTTTGAAAGTATATAATTTCCCTGTCCTTCAGATTTCTCGTCTTTCTATTCCAGATTCCTTGACTCTATTGTAAGGATTGATTTAGTGATTTTAGGTGAGGTTTTACTAAGCGGACTTAAAACCATCATCTTCTGTGTTACGTGACTCTGTCGCATGACAGTACAGTGGCTTCTGCATCATGAGCACTGGTCACATAGCTTTTCAGTGCCAGTTCAAATCCTTCCTGGATTCAGATCCCTTCTGGGCTACAGACTTCTTGCATGGACTTCAGAAAAAGTGAACTTCTCTGTAACACAGTTCCCATTTTCAATGGAAATAACATATCTTCCCTCTGGCTCTTTTCCCATCTTATCTATTAATGTATATGCTAGACTACTATAAGGTTTCTATGCGATATTATAAGCTAACAAAGATATAACATATTTCCATCTAACAAGTTGTAATATATGAGATTTGGAAACCTTGATCCAGGCATGGGTTTCCAGATTCCTTTACAAGACAGTAATTTTCATATTATGCATTCATCCCTCTCAGGGCTGCCAGTGTAAGATTTATAGTAATAAGAAATTTTAACTTTCTGAAGAGTGTTAAGAGAAACTAGTGCCAACAAAAATTTGCTACTAAATTTCCTAAAATAACAATTTTTTGAAGTGCAGCATAAGCAAAATAGATGCTGGTGTGTAACATCTTAAAGGAAAAACAGCCCCTAACACTTTAGCAGAGCTTGCACAACTCATATAGCTACATTTCTTCAGTACACTGCTTGGACAGATAACAGTTCACACCTTTTCTATCACAACAGGTCATGGGATAATCTAGCTTTTTCTTTAATAATAATTAGGTCTCATAATGTAAACAGCTGAGAAGGGAAACTGAGAATAGTAGGTGTACCATTTCCTTTTTGGCCAAGACATATATATTCTAAACTGAATTATTTCTTTCCAGCAGTACATTGTAATCATGCACTCTTTTATTTGTGTTTTGCTTTTCAGGACGTTTTCTCAGAAATAGATTTATTCACCCCACTAAGAAACACATGCTTTAGGAATGTGTAATTTTAAAAGCATGCTGTAGCAAATATTAAGAAAATTTTTACTTGAATACTATCCATACTTTATTTTTATGATAGAAAAATTTATGATAGAAAAAAGGAAATTTTTCAGTAAGTTCCTGTGTCTTAGGAAAGTCTGTAGTTTTTAGTTTATCATGTTCAGTTTCCATGTTGCTGAGAGGCTGTAAAGCTAGGGTATGATAAAATTAAATTTACTTGCTCTTTCAAGTCCACAGCCTACAAAGACATATAAACATGCTGAAATTTAAGTTGAAATTATTTCAATAAAATCAGTGGGTTTGCAGCTAACGGGTTGCATAAGTGTAGTTTTGTATCAGAAGTTTAGATTCCTGAGCAGATTGGTTTTGTTCTCCCTATGTGTCAAATTTACATGTCTATTAATGATTAAAAGTCTCTTCCATTTTTACTATTGTTTCAGGTAATAATTGCCCTTGCAGAAAAAAACCGGTCCCACATTCCTTACCGAAACTCTATGATGACCTCAGTGCTGAGAGACAGCCTAGGAGGAAACTGCATGACTACCATGATAGCAACACTCTCTATAGACAAAAGAAACATAGATGTATGTTATTTCTATCTATTTGCAACAAAAATGTTTGCACTTCTCTGAAGATCCTGCTCTTTTGACTTTTATTGCAGTTTGCAATTCAAGTGTGTATGCTTTCATTCTCATCTTTACAAAAAACATTTTGTTTCCAGGAGATAATTTTATCAGTGGCAATAAGATGTAGACAAATCCTTCAGGAAATGTGTTTTTCTCTAAGTAATCTCAAGTCAAGGAGCAGTTGGGAAATGACTTATACCTAGTACTGAACTGGTTTTTTGGTGTTTTTTTAAATGTACTGTTTTTCTGATGAATAAATCTTTGAGTTATGAAAATGCATTAACAAGGAATTTTCCACAGGTCATTTTGGTAAGATCTATAAAAGTAGATTATGGATCACACTGAAAGCCTTGGCAGAACTTTTGTAGGCTTCTTTGGAGTTGAGATTTCATTGAGTGTGGTAGATAACTGGAGAGTTCACTGGCAGGGGGAAGGATTGGGTGGGGTGGTTTGGGATTTTGGGAAATTTTTTGAATACTTTTATCTCCTTTCACCAATTTCCTGCATTGGAATTATATGTAGTGATGTTTACTTCTCTTTGTTTACCAAAAGAGCTGTGATGAATGGGGCTATGAGGGGCCTGGCAGAGGGATCTAGATGGATTGGAGCATTGGGATATGATTAATGGGATGAAATTTAACAAGTCAAAATGCTGGATTCTGCACCTAGGATGGAGTAATGCCGAGCACATGTATAAATTGGGAGAGGAGTGGCTGGAGAGCAGCCCTGCAGAAAAGGATCTGGGTGTGCCAGTCAACAGCAGGCTCAGTATGAGTCAGCAGTGTGCCCTGGCAGCCAAGAGGGCAAACCACATTGTGGGGTGCATCAAACACAGCATAACCAGCTGGTCAAAAGAGATGATTATCCCACTGTATTCAGCATTGGTGTGGCCTCACTTTGAGTACTGTGTGCTGTTTTGGGCCCCACAATTATGAATGATGTTCAGATCCTTGAATGCTTCTACAGGAGTGCAACAAAGCTGGTGAAAGGGCTGAAGGAATATCCTATGAGGAACGGCTAAGGACTTTGGGTTTGTCTAGATTGGGGAAAAGGAGGCTGAGGGGCGACCTCATTGTTTCCTACAGCTTCCTGAGAAGGGGGAGTAGAGAGGGAGGTGCAGATCTCTTCTCCCTGGTATCCAGTGATAGGATGTATGGGAATAGTTTGAAGCTGCATCAGGGGAGGTTTAGACTGGACATTAGGAAGCATTTCATTACCAAAAGGGTGGTCAAACACAAACAGGCTTCCTAGAGAGGTGGTCAAAGCCCTAAGCCTATCGGTGTTTAAGAGGCCTTTGGACAATGCCCTTAACAACATGCTTTAACTTGGTCAGCCCTGAAATGGTCAGTCAGTTGAACTAGATGATTGTTGTAGGTCCCTTCCGACTGAAATAGTTCATTCCATTCCATTCTATTCTAAAATATCTTCTGATGTGAATACATAGAACCCTGCTCAAAGCCATTTATAATCTATTTATTTCCTGATTTCCATAGCATCAAAGCCTTCTGATGCAAATAAACAAGAAAAAACTACTAAGCCGAAGACTATTTTCTGAAATACAGTGAAAAGCATTATATTAAAATCGTACTTCGTGTAGTTGAAGACATTTATTTTTCTTTATAAAATTGACTTTGCTGTTAAACAAAAACAGGTTATTCAGACTTGCAAACATGTAATTATTCAATCATGATTTCTGGTTACAAATGCAACTAGGTGTTTGATTATGAATTTATTTATTTTTTTAGGCTGTGTGGGATGGGCACCCTTCCATTAATCAATTTATCAGGTGTATGTATCTCACATTGTGATCTAGGTTTCTATTTTGGGAATATTTAGCCCAAGCAATTATCTGGATTAGGCTACTGACTATTTTAATTTTCTTGCTTTAACATATACCATCTACACAACAGACCTTCTTCTTCAGTCCTCCCAAAAATAAATAAAACAATCCCTACCCTGCTCCCCAAAAGCCAGTATGTGCGAATAATATTAGGACGGATGTTAAGTCAATTACTAAACACTAGAAAATGTCAGAATGAGGATAGCAACATAATTTTAATTTGGAGTTCTGTGAGTCATTATGCATAGTTATGTTTGGTTTGGTTATTTGTTTGGCTGTTCCGTTGGATATACATTTCATTCACAAAGGAAGCGCAAGGCAGAATTGCCCCCCCAGTATGAATTGAAGTTGTGTAATAAAAGCAACTTTCTTAAGGACCTAACTTTGTCTCTTGCAAGAAAAGCAATGAAGCAGAGAATTCGAAGTAAGAAACGGCACTCTCATGAAGAGGACAAATAAAATATTATCCCAGAGAACTAGATAATATATCTACTTCTACCAAAGAGTTTGTATACAACTTTTCACATTACCTACATCACATTTTTCTGCTAGTTTCATGGAGTGCTTAAAAGGTGTTGATTCTGAGTTGTATCATAGCTGTAACTGAAGTTGAATAGAAGCTGTTTTGAACAGACAATGAAATAATGATAATAATCGAATACTATTTTTTTGGTGCTTTTGACTTCAGTTTCCTTTCTGTTAAGTGTTAAGTGCCATTCCACACCCTTGCAGCAAAGCAATACCTAGAGGGTTAGTTGATTAATTTTTGTTAAGTCCTCAGGTACTGTAATGATAAGCATCGCAGAAAAAATTATTATATTAATAGTTGTCAGCTTTGATTACCATTTTGATGGCAGAATAAATCGCTTGTAAGCTTACATATTGAATGTTGAAGACTGAATTGATTAGTTACTCATTAATTTAACATGCTTCACACTGCAGAGGGCAAAAAGGTCTGGTCGAAATGTGTGTATGTGTACTGTAAATATAATTGTATTTAATATGTGTATAGAACTTAATTAAAATCACATTAGCTGATCATCATAGCACAGGAACTGTACAGGAGAGGCAAAAATAGAGTCCAGCTAAGACTGTGTGCCATTCACTTAATCGTAAGGCCTTCCTTTCCTTTCCTTGAAAACTTTTCTTTGATTCCGTGTGTATATATTATGTCTTTGGCAATAAACACTAGTATCTTTCATCATGTAACCCTAATTCAGATATCACCCCTCCAAGCACTGAAAGAGACAGAAGTCCTGTGGAAAAAGGAGTATATGATCCTATATTTAAATTGGTATTTTCGTCTGGTGGAGGACTGAAAACTGCAGAATTACTTTGATTCTGAAATACGAGTCTGTAACAGTAATAAAGTTCTCTTAATGTAGCGGTTATGTGTAAATTCTTACATTTTACATACAGACTGGCACGTCTAATAAAATTTTGTGATACTCTTTATCAAGCATCATTGGAACTTCTTAGACTAATACATGATGTTTTATTCTTTAAGCTAACGGAGAACAATTGCTGGCTTTTTATTCATTAGGTAGATAAGTCCTCTAGCAGGGTGTGGCATGTCCTCAATTTCATTCTGTGCCCTAGATGGGAGCACACGGTGGTTGTCACAGTCTCCTCCATTAACTACTCAGTCTTATAACTTTCTTTTTTTTTCCTGCTTTCCTTTCCTCCTGCACCTCATCTTAGGTCATCTGACAGTTTTCTGTCTGGTATCATAGTTCTCCTGTATGCCTCCTAGTACCAAGACTCCCAGCTTGTTTCTCCCTGGACTTCCATTCTTCTTCCCTTCATCTCGTTTCCCAGCTTCTTTCACACACACTTCTCTAGTCCAGTTTTCACCAAAAAATTGTTTTTTCTTAATTTTCTCTTTTTCTCATCATTCAAAAGTGTTTTTACCTTCTGAGTAGTATGGCTTTCTTATCCTTTAGTGCCAGCTGGGGACTCATTTGAAACGCCGTTGATCAGGGGATTGACTGGGTCAATAAAATATGTACTATGAGTTGACAATTTTATGTCACTGTCATTAATATACTAACCTAATTTCCCTTGAATATTGTTATTTTAGAATATGAAATGATAGATCATTTCTGTAAAAAATAGAAACTTAATTTGATGACTTCATTAGCAGTCTGTTCTACTTACCTGGTGCAAACCTAACTGAAATTTTTCTTTTTTCTCTCTTTCTGCTTTTTTTTCTTGCAGGAATCTATATCAACCTGCAGATTTGCACAGCGAGTTGCTCTTATTAAGAATGAAGCAGTTCTTAATGAAGAAATTGACCCCAGATTGGTGAGAGTTGTCTAGGGGCAGAGGGAAGGAGATTGCTTGATTTACGTTTTAATAATCAATAGCAGTCAAATGGGTGTTGAGGATTTTATACTGAATCATCCCATTAAATTGTTTTTAGATGCAAGTTCCAATTTTTTCTATAAAATAACTACTATCTTTATTTCTTTCTTTTGGATGTAATTATAATTAAGTGGACCTTTATAAAATTTCTAAAGGCTTTCTAAGCTCTTAAGGCATCTGAGGACCAATGGTCACTTTCATTATCGTCTTTGTGTTGCTTCTTTTAGGGTGTTAGTTTCTAAATCATAGTCACAGATAATTGAATGTATTAAAAAGCTAAGAAACATACAGATACAGTCCTTCCTTGAGATTGATCCAAGTAGCATTTAATCTGGGAAGAAAGAACTCTGTAAAGTTACTACAAGGAAAAAAGGAAGACAAGTAAATGAGATGTAGAAATAGGATTTTCACACTAAAGAATTAGGCTGATGTTCACATCCCAAAGAGCAGCAGAGGAGCTCTGCAGAATGGGTTGGGGATTTAGGAAGTGCAGAGAAGGATAGAGGTAATAATCCACATTGGTAAAGCACAAAGCATTGCCACATAAAGAAAACAAGTTTGTTATTTTAATGCGCATAACAAAAATGTACTTTATTTTTTCTCTTTAGTATTTGGTTAGTCTTTGAAAGATTTTTATATGCCTCTAGCTTGTTACATACCAGATTTGTTTGAAGGTGTGCTCTGCAATTATAAGTTTTACTATATTAAGAGCCCTTTGTTAGTTTATTTAATGTAATTTTCTGCATTACCTGGAAAATTTATTTCCTTTGTAAATATTAAGTACAACTCTTAAGGATTGGTTAATTCAACATAGCATTGCAGGTAGCGATAGCTGCTGGATCAGGTGGGTTGCATGCTGTATATCAATGATGTTTTCTGATATGGGAAATGTTTGACTGAGGTCACACTGGTCATGCCAAAGGTGCATCTATGGATATAACAAAGAACGAACTATGGATGCATTTCAGCATACCCTCTGTCTCTGTGACAGAGACATCAGATGAAAAATAAGTTCAGGTTAAGCTATTATAGTATTCTGTTTATATATAAACAGACAAATTTTAAAACATAGTTTTTAACAACATAATTATAAATTTGAACTGAGCTTTTCACGTCTAAAGAATACAAAATCTGAATGACATATTCTAATTTCAGTGGGCCTGTATGTTTTTATGATATACTAATCACATCATCATTCTCTTTAATGGGTAAAATTATTACTGTATTTCTAAATTTCTCATTAATAATTTGTAATGGCAAGTGTTATGTATTTTGTTCTCATGACCACCTGAAAACTGGCTAGGAAATGCTTTCCCCTTAAGCGCTAGACTGCAGAATGCTACTTTATATAATGTAAGAAGCATTTGTTGTCTAAAAATTGGGGGATTAGATGGTTGGTTATGTCATTGATTGTTACTTGATGGTAATTTGGTAATTAACATATCTTGGTTACTGGTAATGATTGTGCTTTTATTTTCTCTTGTCCTTGAAGTTCAAAGAGAATAGTAGATTCTTGTCAGATTTTCTGATGTTTCTCTTTTCTTCTTATTATTTTTTTTCTTTTTCTTTCCAAACATTTTCTAACAGTAAAAGCATTACAAAAAAAAAAAAAAAGGCAGCCAAAAAATAAACCCAGTAGGCACTGAACAACTTCATTTCTCTCTGTCCTTTTTTTCCTTTCCTATGTAGACTTTATAGTAGCAAATCACGCAAAACATCTCTTCCATGGCCACAGAAGCCTTTGACTGACGTGGAACACATGCAAACTTCTGAACATTTACTACATCCTGTGGAGCTATACTCCACGAGTTTGGTATGTCTCGCTCTGCAGGATCATTTAGCAAGTAAAGCAAAAGTGGACTCATGAGAGTTAGAAAACCATCCCCTCTTGTGAAAAAGGCAGGGAAACACAGGTACCTAGACTTTTATATGGCTCTGCATTCATTGTGGAATTTGTTGCCCATCTTAACTGCCTAAAGTACATTCCCAGGGTGCAACCTAATTATTCAGTAACAGTTTTTTTCATAAAATCAAATACTATTTATTTGCAGTATTTATCATGTGTAGGTTTAATGCATGCTTTATAAAGAGAGTGCATAATACCTCTTGATAGAGCTGAGTTAAGTCTGACTGCTGTGTTAAACTTCGTTCTTCATAATGGAGACTTCCTGAATGCATGTCTTACTAAGAACATGGACTTATTGAACAGATGAACCTGTTGTACTTTTTTAAGACAGTCAGCTTTGAACCTCTCTCATTCATGACCAAAGGATTTGGTTTAAACCAAAAACCAGAATGTTGAGCCTGAATTAAATCTAATCTCCTCTGGCATTCATTTAGAAATAGAAGTGAAAATATTATGCTTCTGTAGATTTTTGATTGTCTTAATAATACTTGAAAAATCAATCTTTCATCCATATCCTGAAAATAGTATTTCTGTTGTTGTCAGATTGAGGTAAATCATACTAACAAATTTGAACATTGAAAAGGGATAGTACTATCAGTTCAGATTTCTGCCATTTTATATTCCAGCCCCAAATTTAATTTCATTGACTCAGTAATTGGCACAGACTACATCAGAGTGTGGCACCAGAGTAAGGCAACCTAAATTTATTAAAATGTTTGGCCTGCACTATTTTTGAAGCACTCTTGCAACATCTGTATTTAACAGTTCATCACCTTAATAGATTCTTAAATAAAATATTGTAAGTTAGATTTTCATACTTTATAGTAACAAAAGTTTTACCAGTTAGTTTAGAGTTAAAAGAAATAATCATATGTATGTTTAGAATATTTTGATTTTTAAAGTAAAAATACTCATTCAAAGTTTAGGCAGTCATGGTTAGATTTAAACATTAAAAGAAATACAAATGTTTGAAGGATTTTTAACATCCAGTGAAAACGTGTCATCAGTTTCAATAATCTTATTTCTATAAAGTGTGTACAATCAAGAATGATTTACTTTTCCTTGAAAACATTCTTTTCTTGGAAACTTATTTTGCACATGGACTCAGTGGATTCATATCCATCTAAAAATATCATTGGATTCCTCATGCATTTAAGCTTTTATAAGGTGGTGCTTCATTAAAATGCTCAATCATAAAGTATCCAAGAACTTGCTCGTTCATATATTAGCATTAGGGATTTGCATATTGTCCCTGCTTTGTAGACTTCGGCCTTGGGAGGCTAATGATTTAAAAAATACGGTTTTGTACAGACTTTTTTTCCCCAAAGCGCAGGCTCCAATAATGTGCTATTAGAATTTAAAAATCTAGTACAGTCCTCCAAGTCACTTTCTCAATCATTACTATTATAGTATCATAGAATAGTTTGGGTTGGAAGGGACCTTTAAAGGTCATCTAGTATAACCCCTCTGCAGTCAGCAGGGACTTCTTCAACTAGATCAGGTTGCTCAGAGCCCCGTCCAACCTGACCTTCAGTGTCTCCAGCAATGGGGCATCTGCCACCTCTCTGGGCAACCTGTTCCAGGTTTTCACCACCCTCATTGTGAAAAATTCGTCCTTATATCTGGTCTAAATATCCCCTCTTTTAGTTTAAAACCATTACCCCTTGTCCAATTGGAACAGGCCCAGCTAAAAAGTCTGTCACAATCTTTCTTATAGGCCCCCTTGAAGTACTGAAAGGCTGCAATAAGGTCTTCCCAAAACCTTCTCTTCTCCAGACTGAACAACGCCAACTCTTTCAGCCTTTCCTCACAGGATAGGTGTTCCACCCCTCTGATCATTTTGTGGCCCTGCTCTGGACCTGCTCCAACAGGTCCATGTCTTTCCTGTGCTGAGGATTACAGAGCCGGATGCAGGACTCCAGGTGGGCTCTCATCAGAGTGGAGTAGGGGGGCAGAATCCCCTTCCTCGACCTGCAGGGCATGTTTCTTTTTGATGCAGGCTAGGACATGGTTGGCCTTCTGGGCTGAGAGAGGACCTATTCATTATCGCAATTTAATTTCATTATGTTGATTTATACTACTTGTTCGTTGTTAGCAACTGGTGCATGCTACAATTATAGTATGCTATAATTCTAATAAGAGTGGAATGTTACATGAAAAAGAAGGAAAGTTAAGATAAAAATACTAAGATATTGTTTTGGAATTTCTGTTTCTAAAGGGAAGGTTAAAAAAAATCATTTTTGGTGTGTAGTTGTCCTTTCTCTAACAAAAACATGAGTTCTATTTTAGATATGTTTTCATTACTAGCAGGCAAAACTAATGAGTCAGAAAGCTCTTTTTATTCCTATGGCAAATTATTTTTCTTTTGCAAGTAGTCTTTTGAACTCCTTCTGTACAGCCATGTCTTCTAACACATAGAATTTACTGAGTTTGGAAGACTTTTCTTGTTTTTATAAATGGAAAAGGAAAAAAAGTGCTTAGTGTATTTAAGGCATTTGAATTTTTTTTAAAAAAGAGATGCTGTTTAAAAAAAGAGAAAACCAAAGTATAGTATTTCACTAAACCCAGCCTTGTAATGCAAAAATCATAAACTAGCTATTAATTTGTAAGTGATGCTTGGTGTATTCCTTGCTGTTTGTAGATGATTGTCCAGCTGAAGAAGGAGATCCAGGAGTTGAAGGATGAGCTGGCACTGGTGACTGGCAAGCAAAGAACGTCAGAGCTTTCCCAAGAAGAGCTACTTCAGTAATGGCTTATATTGTTTTCATTTTCTTCTTTTGTGGTGATACTTTTCATCAGTTTCTTTGTTGGCATAAATATTTAAATTCATCTCAGAGTTTTAAACTTTTCTGAGTGAATAATAAAATGAATTTAGGTGCCAGGTTAGAATGGCAGTTTTCCATGAAAAGCCCTATGAGGCTGCTGGCTGTGTTTTTGCAGCCTCAGCTTTGAGGAAGTGAAGTAAAATAAACTCAAAAGATGGGAATGCCTGTCAGATGCCAGGCAAAAAGAAGTGTTGTATAATAATACAGAATAAAAAAGGAGTCTCTCTCAAAACTGGATATGCAATCTGAGTAGAATTCAAGAAATATTCTTTGTTCTGAGAAGTATCCTGCTGCAGTGTTAGTTTAACATAGTCCAAGAGATATCTTGCATTTCTGATCCACAATTAATCAATGTCTTAAAAGCCAAATATTCAAATCTTTGACTGAGCATGCTATTGAAAATGCATGATTAATTCACTTAAGTGCTGTAACATCTTACAGCTTTTTGTAACAGATCAGTACAGCATGGAAGAACTTTCTACATATTATGTAGAAATACTTACTTAAGTGTAAATGTTCGCAGTAACTAAATTCAATTCCCAGTTTTGAAAAATGAATTGATTCTGTAGAATAGACCTATTTAATCTCTGTGCCTCATCTGTATAAAGAAAGTAGTAACTGCCTAGAGATTTTGTTTGGTTAGTATATTGGTGGTAACTAAGTTGAATCTGTGAGAATTTTTAGTCTTCTTTTAATTTCTCTTGAAACTGGTCCAGAAGAAAAAATCTCCCCTAACATCTAGGAGACTCTGGAGGCATGAGGACAAACTGCTACCTCGAGCCTTGAGTTTCTCATGTAGATTGTTGTCATTATTAATTCTTGGTTTTGATTTGCTTTGTTTCAATTTAGAAACTAAATGACATCTGTATCAAGGATGAGGAGCTAGATAGCATTATGTATATATTTCTTCTACACCGTTCATATGAGTCATTTTCAACATAGGCAGTTACCAGTATAATCTTCTAACCAGAAATGTCCCCTCAGTTCCTACTGGGTTAATATTTATTTATCATTCTGCTCAAAAGTATGGGAGTCAAATGCACCAAGAACATTTATAGGGTAGCATTGGATGTGACAAAATCAAGCCATAGAAAGAAAATTAGAGAAACAACAAGAACAGAGAAGTAGCTCTCTTTCCACGCAGAATTAAGTGCCCTTACTACCTAGTTTCTTTTTACACGGACAGAACTAGTCCTTCAGAAGATGAATGACTCCCAGTGACTTTATTCAGATATACTTAAATAATCTATAAATTCATTTAAAAATGTACTTTCCTAACATTATTGTAAAAATCTGTCACATGAATTTTCCACTGTTGTCTTGTTTGCTGTTTAGTCAGTACAGGGAAACTGGGGTTTTGGAAATCCTGTGGGTTTTTTAGACCACACTCATGAATCTTACTTCCTAAGACTTCTTACTTGATTTTTTGCCATGAAAATGGCAGTCTTATAAATGGGAATGGGTTCGCAGTTGATGCAAAGGAAAAGAAGGAGTGCAACTGTATGCAGATGGTACACTATAACGTACATCTGGGAGACCTTGTCCCAGAAGTGTGTGACTAAAAAGTGTGTCAGTTTTATGTTTTTCCTTTTTATCTATATAGCACAATATATAGTGCATTACATTGTCAGAAAAGGTTTCTTCTTTGATCAGAGCAAGGGATTTTGCATCCCATTCCTCCAGAAAGAAGCAGGGAGGAGACTTTAATCAGTTTCTACCTGTAATAAGACAGAGAAAGAAAAATAACTTTCAAGGACCTCAGATATATTAGGACAAAACAAAATTTTAAGGTTTTTATGTTTACCATTTGTTTATGTTTACTCAGGCTCATGTGGCACATGTGTTCATTGTTTCAGAAGTAAGTTCTTTCTTGGAACAAATGCTCTGCAATTAAAATGTAGAACAAAACTTAAGTACTGCTAACTGAGATACGGTGGTTTTCCTGAGGATCAATAATAAACAAGAAGGACCTCAAACAATTAACTTCATCAGTCATAAATGCCATATAATGGCCTTGTTCAAAGATAATTATTTTTAACATAGACAGAAAATAGAAGAAAGAATTGGATATACAGAGGTTTTTTATGGGTAGCATAGTTTCAAGCAGAGAGCAGACTATACTGCTAGAGAATAACTCTCATACATGAGTACGACTGGCTTATTAATGCTAGATGCTGTAGTTCAATGGAATGTTGAAAGATAAGTCAGTCTTTTTTAAACAGGTCAAGTGGGGCAAAATACCAAACGTCAGGTTTTATGAGTTTTGCATTTGTATGTGTTCTTGCAAGCAGAGTGTTTACAGGTAAACGACTGATGTGGACTAAACACCCAAATGAAAATGTACTGAAATGGTAGTATAAAAAGCCACTACTCCAATGAAAATATCTTTCTGTGGCTTTGAACACGTATACATTTTTGTGCTTGCTTTCGTATGGCGATACTATTTGTTACCATGCTGGTTTACATCTGTCTGAGCCTCCTGTCCATAAATGTGCGAAGCATTTATGAAAAAAGTGTTCTGTCTCCAGTTAGAGTCTTTCAATGCATAACACAGCAAATCTTTATGACAATGCTGTTTATTGAGACTGGCCTTCTGAGTTTGGAGCTACTCGTTATCTGGAGAGTTTTTTCACGTTAAAGAATAAACACACAAGTGAGTAGTCCAAACAGAATTATTGACCTAGATGAAGGCTGATAAAATCATGAATTACTGGAAAATGTCTGTGTTGTGGTTTTCATCTAGTTTTGCATCTATAATAAAACGTAAATAATATTACCTATGAGGAGACATATGGATCAGATTGTTATGACAGACAGAAGAGGAAAAGCGACATAGTATAGGTGATAACGCAGCATGCTGTGTTACACTTTATTTGGAGTCATCACCCAAGAATGGTTCTTAGGCAAGTAGTACTATAGGGGATTCCAGACAGAATAATGGGGGTTTTTTTGATCCTTTTTTTAATATGCCAGAGAGGAAATTATAATTAGGGTCATTATGGTTTTCAAATAGTATTTAGACATTTCTGCTTAGTTAGGATATCTTCTGTTTAAACTTAAATAAACTGAATCTCAACATGTGTATGTATGTGTGTGTATATATATATATAAATAATCCAAGTTTACATAGTTCTTTTCAAAATTCTTTAACAAAAGCCTTACTGTGATTCATTTTATTACAAATAAGGTAATTAACTAGTAAGAAGTGTTACTAAATATAGTCTCATAAAAAATTGATGTTTTAATTCTTCTTATTCTGATACATCATACATATTTGAAGGGAGGTCAGAGAAAAATTGATCTGCTGAAAGCATTAGGTGCCAATTTTTTTTTTTATTCTTTGATTCTGAACCAAAATGATCAAAGGTACAAAACATGGCAATGAAAAACTCCATGTACTAAGTATGTATTTATTTCGTTGTCTCTGCACAAGTCTTTATCTCAGGCACTTTTCAGTAGAAGATGGATGCCAAAATGAAACTGGATCCAGTGTAGATCCAACAATACTTTTTTAGTCTAATAAAATGGTTATGGTAATGCATAGGTTTTTTAGTCTCTACATATGTTGCAGGAAATAAGTGTTAGTGATTTCCCTGGAAATAAGTATTAATGGTATGTTAAAATGATGTTGCGTATGTTTCTTGACTTATGAAATCAAGAAATCCCAAACATTTCTTACAATAATGAGCTTCATTCCACTTGTTTACTTTCAGGGCATTCCAAATGAAATCAGTGGGCTACTCAATGCAGTTAAAACTGCTAGATGTTTGAAGTTAGTTTATGAATAAGCTGTAGTTCATTCTTCATTGTTTTTTTCTCACTTAAATCAAAGAAGTGTCTTCAGCGATTTTTTTTTTTTTATTGGTATTCATTTAATGGAAGGAAAAAAACATCTGTCAAATAGGCTTTCCTCATAACTACTACAATGGCACATTGTCATTCACTAAGTTTAAAACAAAATGGAAAACAAATGCTCTTGACTTTTCTTGTGAATGCTAAATTATAATACAACACAACTTATCAGTCCTGTGAATAAAGCTACAGCTGTCTGGAATTCATACTTCAGAATTCTGTGTTAAATGGTAAACATTTATGTTAAGATGTCATATTTTTTATTTTATTATTTTATTCTCATAAATGTTAAGCATACATGAATTCTGCTGCTCTCATTTTGTTTATTTAAAAAGCACAGCATAAAAAAAGTTCAGCTAGACTACATAAGTGGTTCAGAATGTAGTTCATAAAATGCTTCCAAAATCTGCATTGCTTGCTTTGGATCTTACCATCTACTTCCTCAGCTGTAGCTGATCTCTAAATATTTCCCTGAGCTGGAGAATTAGTTTCTTGTTTAGGGGAAAAGACAAGGAAAACTTTGGACTATTTTTGAAAAATATAGAAAATAACATCATACATCCCAAACAGAAGGAAATTGTACTCTCGCAGGCTTCTGTATTATGCTTTAGAATAGAATTAAATGTCCGATAAATGATTTTTTTTGGGGGGTGAGAATGCCAAAAGTAAAAGGGAGAGTCCTTTTTGTTTGAATCATTTGGAAATTTTTCTTTTTTTTTTTTTTTTTTTTTTTTAAATGAGCTCCCTAGCTATTCACAATGTGTGCCCAGAAAGTCAGGATTTCAAATCAAGGTCCTGTATTCCAGAGCACCCACGCTTCCAGAGCCTTTGCCAGTTGGAATTCTCTAGGAACAGGACCGGAAGTACTGGCTTAGCACTTTAATTTATTAATAACTTTACCTTATTTCTTTCAGATACATCTGTTATTACAGACACTTCTTTTTTTACTTCAACAGTCATATATTGTTCATCTTACTCAAGTCCTGGATTTCTCATTATTTCTTTCTGTCTTTCATTTTTCTGTTTCAACATTGTGACATCTGTATGCTATCATGGTATTAACAATAT